CGGTTCGTTGCCCCGGCGCCGCCCCGCCTCTCGCCCCGTCGTCGCCCCGTCGCCGCCCCGCCTCTCACCCCGTCGCCGCCCCGCCTCGGTTCGTTTTGCCTCGGTTCGTTGCAACGGTGCCTCCAATCGCCGGACAGGCCCTCTCCTGAGCCTCGTTGCAGCGGTGCAACATGGACTTATAAGTCCCTGTAAACAAACAGGTAGGGACTCGGGACTTATAAGTCCCTGTAAACAAACAGGTAGGGAATTATGACTTATAAGTTGGGACTTAAAAAAGTCCTAGGACTTATGAAACAAACAGGGCCTAAGTCAACTTCGTCTTCCTGCCGTAGGTAGCGCCTACATGGAGAGACGTAAAAGAATGGGCGCAATCAGAGGGGTTCAGACTAGCCACAGTGCATAGTAACATACACTAGTAATATACACATATCCCTAGACTATGTTAGTACCTTCATAGTGGGTAGTAACATAAGTGTGGTAACATGCAAAGCTTCATTTATGAGGTTATAGACTCATATTGCATTGGGACATGTGATGTTACAGTAACTAGCTAAGTTACTGTAACTATCTCTCTCCTTATTAACCCATTGCCACATAAGCAAATGTGCTGAGTTGGACTCGATGTTACTGCTGAAGTTACTCCCACAGTGGCTAGTCTCATACGTGTTTCGCTGTGGCAGCAGATACGATAATTAATTTGCATCTGGATCGAGTAATTAATGGAATGCACACGCATGCACTTGCACCTCTTCTTCCGTCGCGGCCATGAATGCACATGGAGGTTTGAGATTCACTCGCTCATTTAGGGCCTGTTTGGTTTCAAATAAGTCACCAATTTATAAGTCAAAAAGTAAAAAAAGTGACTTATTTTGCCAAATAGACCCGACTTATAAGTCAACTCAACTTATAAGTCATAAGTTGTTCCACCTCAATTTAAAACTTATAAGTCATTCCTTTTTGCGTGGGTCCCACCACTTGCATGATATGGATTGGTAGGGAAAGGTATGTCAGGTGACTTATAAGTCAGGTGACAACCAAACAGACGTGACTAAGTCAGGTGACTTGTTGGAACCAAACAGGCCCTTAGAAAGCTGCATGACGATCGAATAGCATTTTATTTTACCTCTAGGTACCACTACCATCAACGGGAACTTCCCATGAACGAGGGTCGGGGGGGTGGGGGCGATCGACATGGGCTGCCTGCACGACGGCGCCAGGGTCAGCCACTCGGTCTAGTTCCTCCTCGGAGCTCTTCTCCCCACCGTGCTGCTCTTCTTCCTCACCTCCGACCGGCTCGGCGAGAAGCTGGCAACCATCTCAAGCTCAAGCTTGGGGAATCAGAATGGACCAGCTCATCAGCAGATGAGCCATGCCAACCTCATCTCAACTCATGCTTCAGCTCAAGAAAAGGTACGTATGTAGTATGTGCAGTGTTACTTAATTTGCACTAGTGTACGTATGTACGTATCGACGACATGCACCGTGTGATTTGCGTGCTCATGTGACACTCACATGTACGCATGCATGCGCAGGAGGAGAGAGTATTCCCGGGGCTGGCGGAGCTGCTGCCCAAGGTGGCCACGGACGACCGCACGGTGATCATCACGTCGGTGAACGAGGCGTGGGCGGCGCCGGGGTCGCTGCTGGACCTCTTCCGCGGAAGCTTCCGCGACGGCGAGGGGATCGCGCACCTCCTAAACCACACGCTCATCGTCGCCGTCGACGCCGCGGCGTACCACCACTGCCGGCGCGTGCACCCGCACTGCTACCTCCTCGAGGTCGAGGCGACGGCCATGAACCTCAGCTCCGCCAGCGACTTCATGAGCGGCGCCTACCTGGAGCTCGTCTGGGCCAAGCTGGAGCTGCAGCAGCGCGTCCTCCAGCTCGGCCACAGCTTCCTCTTCACGGACGTGGACGTGGTGTGGCTCCGGGACCCGTTCCGGCACATCGGCGTGCACGCGGACATGGCCGTGTCCTGCGACATCTACTCCGGCGACGCCGACGCGCTCGACGGCAACTGGCCCAACACGGGCTTCTACTACGTGAAGGCGACGGCGCGGACGGTGGAGATGATGCGGCGGTGGCGGGCGGCGCGGTGGCGGTTCCCGAGGGCTCACGAGCAGACCATCTTCAACCAGATCAAGCACGAGCTGGCCTCCGCGGACGGCGGCCTGCGGCTGCGGTTCCAGTTCCTCGACACGGCTCGCTTCGGCGGATTCTGCCGGCTGTTCCACAACGACATGGCCAGGGCGTGCACCATGCACGCCAACTGCTGCTTCGGCCTGGAGAAAAAGTTGAGCGATCTCCGAGACGTGCTCGGGCAGTGGAAGAACTACACGGCCATGACGCCACCGGAGAGGAGGAATGTCGGGTGGCGCGTCCCGGCCAAGTGCGGGACGCCTGACAAGAGGGCGCGGACGGGGCCGGGCTCCTGATCCCGGCCTGCGCGTGATTCTGGAATTATTTGCTGAGGCATCGGAGTAGGATTTTTTTATTGTCTCGTTCAGAAATAACAGCAAAAAGAAAGAAAAAAAAGGGCAATATAAGGATCGAACAGTGCAAACCAAGTTTGGATACAATAACATATTTTTGATTGTTGGACTAGTCATGTTTTTATTGTGGTGTCAGACCTTAACGTGAACGGTCACTTTGATGTTAGAACTTGCGGCATACATTGAACGTATAACAACTTGGCTCAAGCGTGCAAATACAATGCAAACCAAGTTTGGATACTTCTAAAAAAAACCAAGTTTGGATACGAAAGTAGCACTGATTAGGCTCGCTTGCATGGCGTGTGTCCCGCTGACAGTGACTGGAAGGTAGAGAGGAGGGCGTGTGGCCTGTTTTGCGCCCAAACACCCTTGAATTTTTCTATTTCTCACACAAAAGCCCCTGTTGACGTTGGCATTTCCTTTTTTTCGTCTCTATGACCAGTAGGTCCCGCCTGTCAGGCACTATTTAAAAATAGAACGAAAAACATAAGTCCTGGGTCTCGAACACGTCACAATGGCAAGCACAAAGCAGTACTTACCCCGGTGTAATTGACTCTAAATACTACTCCCTCCGTCCCAAAATGTAAGATGTTTTTTGATACTATGATAGTGTCAAAAAGCGTCTTATATTTTGAGACGGAGGTAGTATTAGATGGAGAAAAATCAAGGATGCGTTGGATCTTACTTCGAGCCCCAAGGCTTGTGTGAGATGGATGAATTAACACAACTGGACTTGCTTCGTAGTACTGGCAACGAGATTTTGTGATCCAAACAACAAGTTAATAACTGCAACGGTTTAACACTGGCATACTGCATCTTACAGTTCTCCTACCGTAATCAGTAACTCGGCATTCGTCTGGTAATTACGCAAAGCTTTCAAGGATGAGGCGGGCAGGCAGGAGGAAGAAGATGGTGCTGGTGGTGGGACTTCAGAGGGAGAGGCCGCCGGACTCGTCGTCGTCGTCCAGGGTGGAGGAGTAGACGGTGTAGAGGGACCAGATGAGGCCGAACACGCCCAGCAGGATCCACCCCAGCAGGTTGTTGCTCAGCCCCAGGCTCAGCCCCGTGCCCTCCGTCGACATCCGCTCGTCCACCAGCGCCAGCGCCGGGGCCGCCGCCGTAACGGCTGCGCTCGCCGCGGCCAGCAGCGGCACGCCCTTCACGACCGCCGGACTCGCCGCTGCCGCCTCCTTGCGGTCCTTGGAGCAGCCGCACCTCAGCCTCTCGGCCCTGGTCACCCTAAGCTGAGGCAGCCCTGCACAGTTCAGCGCCGGCGTCCCACCGTTAACAACTTAACACTCTTCACACGACTGACATTTTCATGGGGGGTGGCAATTGACAGGATTGCTTACCTAGAGCCTGCCCCGGCCTGGCGGCGACGACAGTGGCGGCGGCAGGACTGATCATTGCCATTGTAGATTGACCTGAGCTCCGGGGGAAGATGCAGCAAGTGAGAGCAGGGGAAGTGTGTGTGAGCAAATTCTCTGGGCATCCTGGCGCCGTATATGTCCTATCCTCTTGGGTCCAATTGGCATTTGCCAACTGGACACCCACAGGTACCTAACGGAAAAGTAACCAGAGGTTTGCACGGTGAAACAGACTCCAACCAGGAAAAACAAGGTTGGAATGGTGGGCGTCAGGTCCAACACATCACCTTGTGTGTTTCTCAAGGGAAAACCATCTATTTCCAGAAGTATCAGAAGGTTGCAAAGTGCACAGCATGGACAATGGACCTGGCACACCAGGAACCAGAGGATGGAGAAAGACAAACCAAGTGGGCACTAGCTACAGCCACACAGATAACAACGAGTCAATTACACCATCGGTACCACAACTTGACGCGAAAAGTCAGTTTAGTGCTACAACTTGCGGCATACATTGAATTGGTGCCATAACTTGGCTTGGACGTACATATACGGTGCAAATCACGTTTCTATACGAACACGGTACTGATTAGGCACGCCGATGTGCGCGACTGGACGACGTGTGTCTGCTATTTGAGCAAGAAAAACCATCGGTATATTTTGTTCTCATGAAAAAGCACCTGGTAGCGATCCATATTTTTCTTGCAGTTCTCGCAGATGGGGGCTATTGTGCAAAAAATTTCATCCAGGTATTCGATCACGTGACCTGAGGTATGCAGTACCGCCGGCCAAACAAATACACCCAACATCATTACTTGTGATTCCGTTCTGACTTCAGTGGGCTGGAGTCCCAGCGACCCATTTTACACCGTTATTTTTGTTAAAAAATAAAATACATGTAAATTGTAACCGCGCGTTAAAGTAAAATAAATTTAAAAATAACAGTGAAAACTTTCATATACTAATATTTTTTAAGTCATGAACATTCTAAACTTTTATTAGCATTTATTGAAATAAAATATATATTTTATAAATTCCTAAAAAAAAGTAACGCTGTTGGGGGGTGTGGTGGCCACTCACACATGGTGGCATGTGTTACATATCGCTGCTTCTAATCCTAGCCAACTATTTTTACATTATATGAATATATGTTTTGAAAGCATGAATACTTTTATATACTACATGAATATTTTAAAACTTATTTAAGAATTTATGAAAGTATATAGTAAAATAAAAAACTTTCTTAAAGCATGAACACTTTTATACACAACATGATTCTTTTTAATAGTGAACCTTTTTAAACTCTTATAAACACTTACTTTAAGCATGAAACTTTTGTAGTATATTACATAAATATTTGGATGAAACTGTGACCAATTTTAAACTTATATAAGAATTTACCGAATATATGTTCTTATTCAATATGCAAATTATTACATGAACAATTTTGTACTTCATAATTTGATATATGGATAAATACTAAATCCATACACGATTGTTTTATACATATATATTATTTATAACACACTATTATATTTTACATATATTCTATAAATTTCTGAAAAGAGAAGTGCAAAATGAGATGTAGGGACTGCAACCTAGTTAGCAGTCAAAAAATATACAGCAGCAGCATCCAGTTATTAATAAATGTGGCTGATTGTCAGGTGGTTATACTTGCGCTGCTGCTAGCTACAGGTCAGTTGTTTGAGTCCCTCACGTACCAATTTTTCATTTATTTGTGTGAGGCTGACAAGTGGACCCTTGCAGCCATGGCATAGTATTTTTCGTGAGAACAATATTTCGAGGTTTATTTTTTGCAAAAAAGCAGGCCGCGCGTCCACTTTGCCGCTAGTCGCTGACAGCAGGCCCCGTGCCACGTTGGCGTGACTAATCACCATCCTGTTTGTATAGCAACATGATTTACGTCAAAGCCAAGTTATGACACCAGTTCAATGTATGCCGCAAGTTTTAGCACTAAACTGATTTTTCATGCCAAGTTGTGGCACCGGTGATGTAATTGACTCGATAACAACAGATGCTTTTTTGCTTTCAGTTTCCCCAATTTCCCATACATGGGTTCCCAAAATTCCACTAGATAGACACACTAGAAGTTCCACTAGATAGACATACCAGAAGTTCCACCTCATGCTTCCACTAGATAGATATACTACAAGTTCTTCCACTTCAGACAAAACGGGCATACACGGCGTTCACTCCAGGAAGAGGTACATAGAGTCCGCCGAGGGCTCGCAGGCCGCGGGATCCTTTCACTTGAGAGGAATGAACCTCGAGGAGTGGGTGGCGCCGATACCGGGCCTTCCGTGCTTGACGGGCTTGTAGCTGATGGAGAACTCGGCGAGGTAGTGGCCAATCATCTCGGGCTTGATCTCATTTACGACGAAGGTTTTTCCATTGTACACTGCAATTTGGCTGCCTATCATCTCTGGTATGATGATCATGTTGCGCACATGAGTCTTCACAGGCGCTGGCTTCTCACCGGCTGGTGCCTCCCTTTTCTGTACATTTTTTCAGAGAAAAGGAATGAGCTTCAGTTGCTTGAACTCAAACTGATAAAACAATAGAATTGATTGTTCAAATCAAAACAGCATTAGAAGTGTACTTTTAGAACTTGATGTCACACTAATATCTTAGAAATGATAAAGATACCTCAAACCAATACCTATACAGTAATACAGATCACATCGTTCAACACCTATCAAGGCACATATACTCGGGAGTTTATATCATACATTTCTAGTTATTCATTTTCTTTTCTTTCCTGCCACAATAAAAAAATGGATACTCGTCACAGAAATTAGAGAACATTAAATGTATTCCAGTAGAAGATGCAAAATCACCACTGTTCAGCACTACTATACAGCCATCTAGTGATTCATAGTGGTCAAAAGACCAACCAATAAGATATTCACTTGTGCGAAGGTTCATAGCTTTGCATTGATATTTGATACTCCCATTTATCGAACATCAATATTCCCACAACCATAAACCCAGAACCAGAAGATGCTAGCTCAAGAATATACAGTATGTGCACTAGCTAGACAAACATTCATTCGTCTGTAGAGTAAGCAAAATATTTGAGCCCATCAAAGAGAAAAGTGAGTACTGTAGAAAATATCAATTCATTTTGCTAAAAGTGACCACATTACAACGGTATATACAAACATATAAGGTTAACAACCTGAACTGCAAATCAAAACCAGACTGAGTTGCCAAAATATCAGAAAAGTGACATATGAGCAAGATAATTTCAAATATTTTATTAACAACCTACAATCCCAACTTGATGCTAATCTTAGTGCAGCAAACAGTAAACAAAATGGACATTTCGGAATGTACATCATACATCGAATTCACCCAAAAAATGTACTCAGTCGAATGTTTTGGCCAGAAAATGTACATGCCACCATATTTAAACCTATATGGAGAACAGCAAACCCCAACTTAATTTTTTTTTCTGCACACCCTCATCATCTCTATAATAGTGTCAGTGAAAGCAAACAAACTGAACATTCCAGGCACTGCAGGCTACAGCCACAAAGAATATAATCAGTCAACTTCACTCCTCAAAAAATACTCAGTCGAATGTCTTGGCCAGAAAATGTACTTGATCAGGTGATTCCACGCTACAATCCAAGCATACATGCTAATTTCAAGGCTTTTACTATTAGCAATATAATTTCAAGGATTTTATTAACAACCTAGAGTACCAACTTAATGCTATGGTATGTTCTATGGTACCAAACACCTTAGTGCTGCAAACAGTGCATGCCACGATATTAACCTACAGGAAGCATGGAAAATGTACCAAGTCCAATGTTTTGGCCAGAAAATGTACTTGGTCAGACGATTGCACGCTGCACTCCAAGCACACAAGCTAATTGCTTTTTTTTTTTGAAGCTAATTGCTATGAGTAAGTTACAAATCACATGCGGCCAACAGCACGTCCATCCAAAAGAAAAGAGACACATTCAGGCATGCTGTCGCTGGCAAGTGGCACAACTGTTTAGCTCGGAGACAGTTATAAATAGCAGGCATTTCATCACACCCAGGAGCAGAGGGGCAAGGGAGGAGTATCATCCATTACCGCCTTGCGCAGCTTCCTGATGAGCGCCAAGGGCCTCCTCTTCAGCCCCCTCTGGAACCTGCAGCAACACCAAAGCACGGCACTTTCTTTCAGACAAACGAACGAGCTAGCAGTTCCCTCTCCCCTTCCCTTCCCTTCCCTTCAACTTCAAGAGATTCCAGTCTCGCTCGCTCTCTCAAGTTGGACGCACGCCGCTGGGGGCGGGGTGTACCTTCTGCGGCCGCGGGCGGGGAGGAGCTGGACGAGGTCGTCGGTGGACATGTCGAGGAGCGCGTCGAGGTCCACGCCGCGGTAGCTGAACTTGCGGAACGTCCTCTTCTTCGGCTGCCCGGCGGCGGCGGCGGCCACCTTCGTCCCCACGCCGACGTTCGCCTGCAAACGCGATTACGCAGCGCACGGGTTAGAGGGACCAGCGATTGGGGAATGCGGGAGGGTCGGTTTGGGGGAGGGGCGAGGAGGGCGGAGCTCACCATGGCTGGCTGCGGCTGGTTGGGGGAGGAGGAGAGGAGGTGGCGAGCAGCGGAGGCGACGGCGCTAGGGCTTTGGTGAAAATGGGGAATGTCTGTCGAGGCAGGGCCGTGGTAATAATGTGAGTATTAGCTACGGCCTTTATTTTTATTTATTTATTTTCGAGCTGATGAGTTGAGCATCCCATAGTTACATAAATGAGTGAAACCGAGCTCCCACATTCCCAGGAGCATATGGGTCGTTAGATGCGATTTCCACTATGGTCCTGGTCGTCGGATCTCGGCATCAAATCACTAGGACCGTCCGATATTCACCCCATCGCTCTCAGCCGTCTGATAATATTTCAATTTCATATTTTTTTTGTAATATATGTGCCCCCACAAGGCATTTTCTTCATTTAAGCCAGAGCGTATAAAAGGCAACCGACACCATTCTATCAGCAACCCCGTGGCCAGACCCTAGCCGTGCACTCTGCCTCCTCCTCCACTCCCGCGCCAACAAAACCACGCCATCGCCATCTCCTTCGCCTAGCCGGCCGCCGCCCCTTTCATGCCCGGTGGCCTCTCTCCACTCCACTCTTCATTCCTCGAATGCGGCGGCGGTTCATTGACGTAGCAAGCGGACAAGGCGACAGCGGCAGTCGTGCCCCTTGCCCTCGCACGCCGCCGCCACATCTCCTCCAGCGCCTCGGTGATCCTCTTTCCTCGCTTGCTTCTGGGCTGCCCCATCCATCGTGGAGGGGATGAGCACACCGGGAAGGAGCTCTCCACTAGGAAGATCCATCCACACCCGGACGAGGCGAGAGCATGTCGTTGTTGTTCCATCAGGAGGAGAGCACCGTCACCATCGCCCAGCCATCCTCTTCACCCGCTCTGTCAGGATTGTGGGTTGGATATACTGCAAAGAGGCTAAGAAGTTGCGGCACTACTTGGAAAATGGAATGGAAGGGGTGCGTAATCGCATATGTGCATGAAGAAGTCGGCTCGCACTTGAATTGTGGGTTGGATATACGGCAAAGAGGCTAAGAAGTTGTGGCGCTGATTGGAAATGAAATGGGTGCGTAGTCGCGTGTGTGCATTCAGAAGTCGATCAGCTCGCATTTGGATTATGGGCTGGATAGTGCAAAGAGGCTAAGAAGTTCTGATGCTTCTTGGGAATGGAATGGGTGCGTAGTCACACGTGTGCATTTAGTCGGCTCGCATTTGGATTATGGGTTGTATATATGGCAAAGAGGCTAATAAGTTGTGGCGTTGCTTGAGAATGGAATGGGGTTTGCATGTGTGCATGAAAAAGTCGTCTCGGAGGATCTCCATTCGCTAAAAAAATAAGAAGAGAGATGCCCTAATACTGTCGCAAGAGCCAATAGAAGTCACGACCGGCTGATCAGGCCAGCCGCACAAAGATAGAAAAAACCTAGCTTTATTTTATCTTCTCCATTTAGTGGAACTAGTAGAATAATTGGTACCTTAAATCCTAAACCCTAATCCCCAACGACTATAACCACATTTTACTGCATCACAAAGATACCCTATCTCTCTATCTTTTTCACCGAGACATTCCTTAGAGCATTATCCATGTAATGTGTTTACAGACAATGTGCATGTATGAAATGTTACACTTCAATCATAAAAGCAGGGAACATCTTTTCCGTGCAATAGATTTGTGTTGGTGTCCATTTCATCTTCAGACATAGACTAACAAAAGAAAAAGCGACATGCTCATTCCCATCATAAAAAGTTGGTTAATTTAAATATCTAAATTACCTTTCGAGTTAAGTAACCATGTGTAAGGAGTCATTACCTTCATTACTTGATACTATATTATTGAGAGCCTAAAATCATGAGGATCGTATAAATGTACAGAAACTAAAAAATAGATGAATAAGATATTGATGTTTAATTGGTAAGTTACTAAATATCCATTAGTGATTACAAAATTCATTTTGGCCTTGTTTTCACATCAGCCCTATAAAGCTTCAAGATTAGCAAATGTTCATAAATTCAAAGGATGTTCATGTTTACAAATTTTTTAGAAATTTCAAGTTTTGTTTGAATTTTTTTAAATGTGTTTATAAAAGTGTTTGGAATTTTCAGAAAATGGCTGTGTTTTTATTAAATAAGAATTTTCAAGAAAATGTTCCCTTTTCAAAAGAAAACAAAAATTCAGATAATGTTCGGGAATGTGAAAATATGTTCGCTTGTTTCAAATATTGTTTGTGTTTTTAAAAAATTGTTCAGGATTTTAAAAAATCTTCCCTCTTCCAAATTTTATCCTCAAATTCAAAAAATGGTCCCGTTTTCAAAATTTCGTTCGGCAATTAAAAAATGTTTCTGTATTTCAAAATTTGGTAGGGAGTGCATGAAAATGTTCCTGTTTTTTAAAAAAAATTCACAAATTGAAGCATTGTTCACTTTTTAAAAAAGTCGTGTATGTCGAGTATTTGTCAAAACTAAAAATAACTATCCTGAATTTCAAGAAATGTTTCGAAAAAACAAATAATATCCAATCAGCTCCTCCTTAAACATTCTCGCGGGGTTATAGTCACAAAGTGTTGTAAGCTCTATTGGTTAGCTATTCGCAAAAATAAAAGTTGTACTGGTTAGCTATATCCCTCTGTGAGCACTTGGTCGCGAGTCCTTCCTCCTTTCAAATCTCAGCCGTCAAGAAACCTTCTTTCCTTTATTGCTAGGTGTAGATATATATAGATATAGGTATAGATTAGGCTGCAATAGATAATTTGTTTCTTTGCTTAAAAAAATTTGCGGCTCATATGTATTTGTTTTAGACTTTGGCATGCGCGTCCTCATCATCGGATGGCACCGTTCGAATGTTGAACGTTTTCGGTGAACTGCTCAATCCTAGTTCATATCAACTGATGTGAATTGATATGCAATGACATATTATTTGTTTCATCTTTGTCATGTGCATATTTGCTATTCCCTCCATCCTGAAATGTAGGACCATTTCTGACACTATCAATATTGGGTTGAACGTACATACCGTTTATTTTTTTGAATTAATAGTGACCGTGGAATGAAAACTGATGGCCTACGTTTGGAACCAAACCTTCTGTACTGCCTCTTCAGGGCCTCTTTTCGCTCAAAGAAACCTGCAGGTAGGATTCCAGTCCTCGAGTTATATTTGTTCTGCTCAGTGCTCGTGCATTTCTGCTCTGTCACCTCCGTTGCATTACATATAGGTTCACGTTACCCCTAGCCGTAGGCAATCTATCCTTTGCTTCATGCTGCCAAGCGAGGCTCTGAGGGAGAATCCTTCCCTGATCAGAAGAAAGCTCTCTGCCAAGATTGTTGTGTGAAATCTGAAACCTCAACCTCGCAAATATTCTTGCCTTCCACCGAATGCCACCGCCCACTGCATGCCCCAAAACGATATCGATGATGCTTCACGCACACATTTCATCGATCCCATTCCTTTCTCCTCTTTTCATCCCAATGCCAATTCATCCTCGCCGTGCATCGGATCATCACGTCAGATCATCGGTCCACCGTAGGCATTACTGATTACCCTTCCATGATAACACCGATTTCACCGCAAGATCGCCGGCCGGCCAGCGACTGAGCGAGTCCGGTGAAGCTAAGCTAGCGGTGCTCGGCAGGGCGGCCATGGGCGTCCGCATCTTCGAGGACCTGGGCACGGTCGAGAGCCGGCTGCTGCGGCTGGAGGTGGTGGTGCTGCTGAGCGCGATGGTGCTGGCGGCGCTGGTGCTCTACGGCTCGACCCGCCGCCGGAGCAGCGACCGGCTCCTCCGCGGCGTCATGTGGATGGCCTACTCGCTCTCCTACGTCGTCGTCACCTACGCCGTCGGCATCATCCAGGACGGGCCCTTCCACGGCGAGACCTTCGTGCTGTGGGCGGCGGCGCTGCTGCTCATCCAGGCCAGCGCGTACGCGGCGCCCGTGCACAGCCGCCGCGACGTGGACCAGCGGAAGAAGCTGCTGCTGCAGCACGTCCTCCAGACCGGCCTCGTGCTCTGGCTCGTCCTCAACGCCACCGGCACCAATGCCAGCTACCGCGCCGCCATCTGGGCCTTCTGGAGCCTCAACGTGCTCAAGACCGCCGCCAAGATCGTCGAGATGATCAAGGCCAGCCTCCCCGACCGCTCCGTCAAGGTCGTCGCCGAGTACATGGACGTCGAGGAGTCCCTCGCCGCCGCCCCCGACCAGCGGCCACCCGATCCAAGGACAATGACCGGGTACAAGTACCTCTTCCACGGCGAGGACACCATGGAGCTGAACCACGAGTTCGGCCGCCTGTCCCGGGAGGAGATACTGGTGCAGAGCACCTGCAAGTCCGTCGTCACCATCGACCAGGTCTACCGGTGGATCGACGCGCAGGGGTACAGCGACGTCGAGAAGGACATGGCCAGGGACTTCTGCCTCGCGTTCGCACTCTTCAAGCTCCTCAAGCGCCGCTTCTACGGCTACGTCCCGGCGGAGGCCGGCTCGGCCAAGGCGCTGAGCCTCGTCCTGAACGGCCTCATCCACCAGGAGCAGCACCCGCAGTCGCGCCACCACCACCGGGACATTGCCACCGGCCCCGACGCCGCGTTCCGGGTCGTCGAGGCGGAGCTGGCCTTCCTCTACGACTTCTTCTACACCCGGAACATCGTGCTGGTGGGCGTGAGGACGTACATCTGCATCGCCGTCGTCGTGCTGGCGCTGACCATGTGGACGGCCTTCTTCGGCACTCTCGGCCCCGACTACCGCCGCCTCCGGATCGGCGTCAAGGATCTCGACCGCTCCGTCACGGTGGTGGTGATCGTGATCACCGCGGCGCTCGAGATGTGCCAGGCGCTGGCGGCCTTCTCCAACAACTGGAGGTACATCAAGACGGTGTACCGCTGCGTGCGCGACGGCCAGCCCTGGCAGAAGAAGCGGCGCGGCGGGCACCTGTGGTGGAAGGAGAGCCTCGCGCCGCCGGACGCGAGGTACTGGGAGGACAAGATCGGGGAGTACGTGCTGCTCAAGCGGTTCGCCCACCGCCCGCTCAACCTGCTGTCGTGGCTAACGCTCTTCCTGGTGGAGCCGCGGCGGCAGGGCCAAAAGCGGGAGCGGAGGAAAGAGCTGCCGCCGCCGGTCCGGCGCGCCGTGCTCGTCTCGCTCAAGGCGAGCCGGGGACACCTCACTAATGGCGTCTCGGCATTGCGGAGGCACGGCCTGCTGCCGCGGCTGGCGTGGGCGTGCGAGTTCTCCAAGTCCACCGACCAGATCCTGGTGTGGCACATCGCCACCACGCGCTGCGACTGGGACAGGCGTCGCCGCGGCGGCCAACATGGCGGCGACGATAACACCGACGACCGCACCGACGAGCACCGGCTGGTGGCGACGAAGCTGTCCAACTACTGCGCGTACCTGGTGTCATTCGTGCCGGAGATGCTGCCGGACCCGAGCTACAACGCGGAGCAGATCTTCGACACGACGGTGCGGCAGGCGCGGTGCCACCTCGCCGGCTGCAAGAACAAGGACGAGATCCTCGCGAGGCTGCACATGATCGAGGCCGACGAGCAGAAGTACATGGAGGGCGTGGAGGCCGGCGGCGGCGCGGAGGAGAGGGCGGGGAGCAGCACTATCGTCGAGAAGGCGGCGCTGCTGGGCGGGCAGCTCGGGGCGGCCGTGGGCGAGGACGACAGGCGGCGGTGGGCGGTGCTGGCCGAGTTCTGGGCCGAATTCCTGCTGTTCCTCGCGCCGTCGGACAACGTGGACATCCACGCCGACGTGCTCGGCGCCGGCGGCGAGTTCATGACGCAGCTGTGGGCGCTGCTCGCCCACGCCGGCGTGCTTGAGCGCCCGGCAGCCGGTGCCGCCGCGACGCGTGATCGGGGTTAGCTCCGCACGAGCAGGAACACACGCTGCCCGCCCGGTGCGAGTGCGAGGCCGTTGTTGTTGGACAGTTGGCTTCACTGAGTGTCACGTCGCGGTGGTCAGAACTAAACGCGTTTTAGTTGGAAGAGAAGGTTGTTGATGTGTCTCTCTGGCCGCCGTTCCACGAGTACAGCGGACGTGGGCATCTCACCCACATGCAAGATGATAGTTGCCGAGGTCCTGATCTAACCTGCCCCACTCAAAGTACCATGAACTCAATCATATTTGTTTTTTTTTTGCGGGTGCATATTTGGAATTTTTGTGTGACAAGGCGATCATTTTTGTGTGGCAAGATGATCATAATTCCATTATATGCTACGAGGAATTGAGTAAATAGCATAATACAGCTATTTTGGGGGTTAGGGTTTCAAAAAATTATCAAATTTTGTTTGTCGATGATACATACCAAAAATCTCAAAATGCATCTGAGCATCCAGAAGCGACCCGGAGACGCCGCCATAGTCAGCTTCGGAGGCCCTCCCTCGCAACCCCGTTCAGCTCGTCGCCGCCGGAGGAAGCCGGCCACCCGATGGACGACGGCGGCGAGGCGTCTTTGGCCGGGTTTTTTTTTCTATTCTTCCCTGGTGTTGGCCTTCTGATTTGTCCGTCGTCGTCGTCGTTGTGCGTTGCCAGCCTCCCGGTCTAACGGTTCGTTGGTGATTGCCGACCTTCTGATCTGGATCATGCACATGGCTTGGTGCCTCCTGATCTGGTTGCTATTACTCGACCCATCGACTGCTATCCATTACGCATCTAGGGTATTAAGTTCATGACAAATAGAGTAACACAATGTAGACAGAAGAAAATCAAACAATATGATTAAATCCCGTTGTTGTACCTTTAGTAGCAACAATACAAGACGTGCCTCGCAACTGTCACTGGGTGAGGACGCCGGAAGATCGAACCCACTACAAAGCACATCTCCTACTGAAGATAAATCAATCTAGTTGGCCAAACCAAATGAATAGATCGGAGAGAAATAAAAAGCTATAACAATCATGCATAATAAAGTTCAGCAAAGACTCAATTACCTTAAATGAATATTTCAATCATAAGCTCACAGTTCATCGGATCTCAACAAACACACTGCAAAAGAATATTACATCGATTGATCTACCAAGAGAACATTGTATTAAAGATTAAAGAGAGAGAAGAAGCCATCTAGTTAATCACTATGGACCCGTAGGTCCGTGGTAGACTACTCACCCATCATCGGAAGGGCGTCAAGGTTGATGTAGAAGCCTTCCGTGATCGATTCCCCCTCCGGCAGAGTGTCAAAAAATGCCTCCAGTTGAGATTGTGGAAGAACATAGACTTGCGGCGGCGGGAAAAATGTTTTGGGTCGCCCTCTGTTGGTTTTGGGATTTATGGGCTAGAAATTAGGTCAAACGAAGTTGCGTGAGGCCCACAAGCTCAGGTGGCGCGTCGTGTGAGCCTGTGGCTCTCCAGTAGATCTTCTGGCCTCCGCCCGAAACTTCTAGGGTCCTTTTTGGTTCAGAAAAAATCACCGTAAAATTTCATCGTGTTTGGACTTCGGTTGGTACTGATTTTCTGCGAAACAAAAAACATGCAAAAAACAGAAACTGACATTGGGCACTGAGTTAATAGGTTAGTCCTAAAAGATAATATAAAATGGCATATAAAGCATCTAAGCTAGATAATATAATAGCATGATACAATCAAAAATTAAAGATACGTTAAAAACGTATCAATAAGTAGGAAGAAGGCAAACACACCAAAGGGAAACAGCCCGACACAGACTAAAGTGGTGTACCCATCTTATCCGCCTGACGAGATGCTGGCTCCACAGCATTTGCCAATGCACCGGCCTGAATAGCCATCAGGGTGTTGGGTGCTGGGTGGGGTCCAAGAAATACGCATGCCTCTGCGTGATGGCCCAAACATCAGACGCCCACACCAGCGCATAAGGCAGCACACATACGGGCAGGCTCCACGCACTACGATTGCC